ACGCCTCCTCCCAGGAGGCCGCAGCTGCGGAGTCCATCCAGACGGACGTGCGACTGACACAGCAGCGAGATGACCGCGCTTACCACGACATCGCGGACGTCACGCCCAAGGTGAAGGTTCAGAAGGTGAAGAAGACGTTCTTGAAGAAGGAGCGTGACCGACATGGAGAGCTCGAGGGGTCCAGGCAGCCTCGTGTGGACCTGAGGGCCCTGGACGCCATTGAGGCACAGGCCAAGGGGGAGGAGCCGCCTGAGCAGCAGCAGCTGCCGCAGCTTCCCCCTCCGAAGAGGGAACGTTCTCGTTCCCCTCCAGGGCGGATATCCTCTGAGATGTACCCGAAGGCTTCTCCGGGGGCATCGGGCTCTGGCGGCCCCTCGGTGCCGCCGATTCCCAGAGACGATTTCGAGCTGGAGCGAAAGCGGAAGTTCCTGGTAGATGACGTGCCGATTTGCATCAAGAAGACGCGTCTGCAGGCTACTCCTACGAGTGGTTTGCCGGCCCTCCGCGAGGTGGCCATGAACGCCGTTGTGCACTCGGGACCTCAGGAGTGGTTCGACCAGAATGCCTTGGATGGTGTCTCCGCGCTCGTTCAGAAGGTCGTACGAGGAGTACGTGTACACCGAGAGCCACGGCGGAGACTCTATGATCACGACCGCCACCGGGAGTGCAATCGCCTCTCGGCGATGCTCTCCGCTACGGGCCAGCGTGCCTACAAGGACGACGGCGCGAACCGCACCAACGAGCGCACGGAGGACAGCTGGGTTGGTCTCACGCTTTTCTACCACGACAAGCCGGACGCTCATGCACAAGGGGTGTACTATTTGGACACTCCGGAGGGTCTTGTACGACAGCCGATGACTTACGAAGAATGGATCAACGTGTCATCTGTGTATGACGCATGGCTGCAGGAGGCCCGGTACGAGCACGACGTGTTCGCACTCGTGATGAAGCAGAACGCGAAGGAGCTAGACCCACGTCACTTCAACCAGCACGAGAAGGCTAAGTTCGACGAGGCCGATGCCGCCGAGTGGCGGCAATGGATCGCCAACAACACGGTCGAGCTGGTCACCGAGGAGGAGGAGAAGAGCATCCCGAAGGACAAGATCATCTCGGTGCCCATGCGTTCGGTTCGCACGAACCGGGGGCGAGGGCTGGAGCTGGAGGCGAAGTCTCGCTTGATCATCCCTGGCCATCTCGATCCGCAGCTTGGTCTATTCAGGACGGATTCGCCTACTACTTCCCCTTTGGCTGTGCTGGTGTGTGCGTCTATCACAATGGCGATGGATTGGACATTCGAGTGTTTCGACGTAGCGACTGCGTTCCTGTCCGGGCTGAAGCTGGAACGGGAGCTGTATGTGAGGGCTCCTAAGGACGGGCTTCCAGCCGTCGACGGTGCTGGATGGCCAGCCGTGCGGCCTTATGCGTTGCTTCGCTTGCTGAAAGGGGCGTACGGTCTGACTGAGGCGCCTCGGTTGTGGTATCTCCGAGCCCGCCAGGTGTTGACGGACGAGGTCGGCTTCGTGGAGCTGCGCTGTGCTCGAGCTGTCTTCGTTTATCGAATGAACGACAAGTTGATCGCTATGTTGACCTTGCACGTCGATGAAGGCATGCTGTTTGGAGACCCACACGATCCCCAGTACCAGGAGGTGAAGGCGAACATCAACAGTCGTTTCAACATCAAGCACTGGAAGAAGGGCAACGACAAGGAGGCAGTCGCCTATCTCGGTGAGAAGTGGTGGCGCCACCCCGATCACATCGAGATCAGCATGCACGAGTACATCGGCAAGCTGACGAAGCACCCCCTTGCAAGGGGTGACAACGAGGAGCGGGAGATGACTCCCGAGGAGCACCACGACTACCGGAGCTTGCTCCAGAAGGTGCGATGGCCCGTCGCACGCGTGGTGCCACAACTCGCGTATAGTGTCTCGGCGCTCGCACAGAAGGATCCGAAAGGTCGGAGGTTGCTGCACCTGCGAGTGCTCAATGACATCATCGACCGGCTTCAGGACTACGACAAGAGAGGTCTTGCGACTCTCCGGATCCGCCGTGTGGACATCGAGCGCTTGCAGGTGCCCACGCTTATGGACGCTTCGTTTGCGAAGGAACCCGGCTGTAAGAGCCAGATGGGGCTTATGAGTATGATTACGGACACCCGAGTTTTGAAGGAGCTAACTGTATGCTGTCTAGTGGAGTTTCAGAGCAGTACTATTACACGAGTTGTTGGATCTACGATGGCCGCAGAGTCTGCGGCTATGTCCGTGGCTTTGGATCGGCAGCTTTACCTCAGACTGCTGATTGAGGCAGTCTTGTACGGGGAGCCGCCCTTGCAAGGGGGCTGGAGGCTGGCGCTGAAGGTTCCAGGGGCGCTCGTGACGGATGCGAAGTCGCTCTACGATCGCACGTCCAAGATCGGGTCGATGCCGGTGTCTCGGCAGACCCTCACTGACTTGCTGGTGGCCAAGGATTTGATAGAGCAGGAGGCCATCAAGTTCAAGTGGCTGCCTAATAGCCACATGCTAGCGGATGTGTTGACAAAAGCCGTGCAGCCTAACGAGGTACTATCGCAGTTCCTCCGCCACGGCCTGTTCAACATGGTGCCTACTGCTGAGCAAGAGGATGAGGAGGCACACCGTCTGCGGCTGCGCCGCGGACAGCGTGAGCGAGCCAAGGAGCGGAAGGCCCAGCGTCGGGTCGCCGTTCCAGGGCCTGCGAGCCCGTGAGGTCCTGATTGCAGCTGCTGATGGACCTAGTGAGGGCTACGGTGAGGTACGCATATCTTTTGAGTTGATCGTCTGGAGTAGTGTATCCAGATATTCATATTCGTGTATTTATATTTTGAGCCTCAGGCCGCACCTTGCTTGAGGTGTCTCATGCATATCTTTTGAGCTGACAGTCTGGATTGGTGAATCTAGACATTCATATTTATATTTCGAGCCTCAGGCCGCATCTGCCTGAGGCGTTTCGGCCCGTGGGCTGATGCACATTATAATTGCGTGCAGCGTTGCCCTTTCAGAGAGAGCGGCATCGGGGCAGCATTGTACTCACCCAGTGTGAAGAGTGCACTCCCCTGCCCCTCTGCCGCCCGTGCCACCATGTGTGTATGTTGTACACGCTTGTCTTGTTTTGTGACATGTACGCTGCCCGCCGCTGTTTTGGCCCTAGTCCTAGGGCCCTGGGACGCACCCGCAGTTGGACTGCCGCGCGGTCTTTGCTGAAAACAACTGCACTGACACCGACAACAGGCTAATAATTACTGCGTGTGCGTCGCCCCCCCCCAGGGGCGACGCGCGCACCGAGAGGTCTCATAGTATATGCGTCGTGGCGGGCGCGTTCTGGCAGCGCCGCTCGGGGCACGATATACTGCGAGATGGGTGCGCCATCTGTTCTGATCGGACGCGCGCCTCCAGGGAGGACATGTAGTACTAGTTTTAAGTCGGGCCTGTCCCTCTACAGGAGGAGCATTCAAACATCGTCTGATTTTTGTATGCGTTGACAACTGTTGGGCACTTTTGGTGTTGAAAAATAGTCCCAAACCCCCCTGTAGGGTTATGTTGCTCCCATCGCACTTAAGGACCACATCCCAGAAACAATGTCGAGCATCTGGAAAAGTGTCGAAACAGTGTCGGACGAGTGTCTCCCAGGGCCCGACACGTGAAAACCCTCGAGTTTCGGTACTCTTCTGGGGGCGCTCGAAACTCTTCTGGTGGCCACGGCTAAAGTAGGCTGGAACAGCATAACTGGGGGGACACGCCCGACCTAACACAGTCGGCCCGGATTCGTAGGTAGACCCTGCCAGCTCAAGGGTACCCCTGGTGCCCTGTGCCTCGCGACGCGTGCCTTCGCACGCTCTCATGGCGATGTGGCCCTCGGAAAAGGGTCCTGTGCCCTCTCGCGTGCCCTGTCCAGCCGAGGCCGGCTGCACCAGCTGCCGGTAGATCTCTGTAGCGTCCGGCTGCACCGCCCTGGGCCGGGGGGTCCCCGACGGAGGCGCCCCGCCCCTCCTCGGAGCCCCCCCCTCGGGGCGCGCCGCCGAGGAGGGCTCGGGAGCGTCCCGGGCGGCCGCCCGCGACGAGGGCGGGCGACCAGGGCGCCCAGGGGAGGAGGAGGAGGAGGAGGAGGAGGGGGAGGAGGAGGAGGAGGAAGGAGGAGGAGGAGGAGGAGGAGGAGGAAAAAGAAGAAATAGAAGCAGAAGCAGAAGCAGAAACAGAAGAAGAAGAAGAAGAAGAAGAAGAAGAGGAAGAAGGAGAAGAAGAGGAAGAGGAAGAAGGAGAAGAAGAAGAGGAGGAGGAGGAGGAGGACGAGGAGGACGAGGAGGAGGAGGAGGAGGAGGAGGGTCACCGCCCCTCGTCGACCAAAGACCAAGCGACACCACCCCACCTGCGGCCCTCCTCGCCGATCCCAAAAAACAGACGACACCACCCCACCTGCAGGCCCTCCATGCTGCGCCACGGCCCGTCGGGCGCCGCGGCGTCCACCACGCAGAAGCCCACGCCAGCTTCTCCAGTCATGCGCTGAGCCCAGTGGGGGCCGCAGGTCGGCCACGCGCAGAGGGGGGGGGGGCAGGGGGGGGAGGCTGCCGAAGAAGCGCCCCTGCTTCTCAGAATCGGGGGGCCTTGCTTGTAGGTGTGAGGCCCGCGCCTCCTAAGAAGCAGCCTCCTTCCACGACGCCTCCCCCCCTCCCCCTACCCTCTGGTGCGCGCCGCCACGTAGGTGGGGCGGTGCCGTTTGTTTTCTGGTCGAGCGTGGGCGGCGTCAACGGGCCAGAACACGGCGGGCGCTGCTCCCCCGGATCTCGGGCCGCGCGCGCGGTGCGCAGCGGTGCAGCGCGGGGCGTCTGGCACACGGAGGGGGCCGCGTAGAGGGCTTTGGTCGTGTTTTTTTGCGGGCGGGCTCGTGCCATTTTTTCGCGACGTCGGACCCACCTGGGAGGAGGAGGAGGAGGAGGAGGAGGAGGAGGAGGAGGAGGAGGAGGAGGAGTCGTGCCCCGCGTGCCGTTGCAGGACAGCGATTGCGACGCCGCGGCCGAGTCTGCTCTGTCCGTGAAGAACACCTTCTTTGAGCTGGTCGTCAAGGCGTCGTCCCGCCCGCCGCCACGTTGCGTCTTTGCCGCGAGTGATGCGCAGTCGGAGGACGTTTTGTTCGAACCCTCCTGTGTAGGGCTCTCGTTTTGAAAAGTCACTCCTCTCCCCCCTTCGCTCTTCCTCCTCATCCCGTGCTCGGAGGTGCCCAGGGTTGCCCGGAGGTGCCCGGGGGTGCCCGGCCAGGTGCCCGGGTGCCCCGGTGCCCGGGTGTCCGGGTGCCCGGCAGCTTTATAGCCCTACTTCGGGGGTACTAAAGTTTTTGACCATAAGATGAGAATTGCCTCGCTGGTCACGCGTGCCGCGGAGGACCGATCAGGATGCAAAGGTGCCTTGATGCGGATTCGCGAGCCTTTGTGGGCCCTCTGGGACGGCCAACCAGTGAACCGAGAGCGACCGCATTGGAGAAGGATGCCCAGGGTCTCACAGCAATGCAACAAGGAATACAATCAAACACCGCGTTGGCATGATAAGGACAGGGTCGATGGGGATGATGATACGGACGATCAAACGTGACCCAAGCGGAGTGGTTTACTGTGAACGGGTTCAAATCGGAGTGTTTTCCGGCCCTATTGTAAATGGGACGGAGTAATTATCACCCTGTTTTAAATATATATTATTATATTCTTACAGGGTGAGAGCCCATCGGAGTCGAACCGCCGCCCGACCCAAAACATGTCGCTAAGATTCTACGGGGGGGGGCAGGGGGCGTCGACAGCATGACGTCTTATGGTCAAAACTATAGTACCCCCCGTGTATAGCCCTACAGCCTGACAGCCCTATTGCCCTATAGCCCATCAGTCCTATAGCCCTGTAGCCCAATAGCCCTTAGCCCTAATGGCCCTATAGCCCTGTAGTCCTATAGCCCCATAGCCCTATAGCTCTATAGCCTTACAGCCCTATAGCCTATAGCCCTATAGCCCTGTAGTCAGATGGCCCTATAGCCCTGTAGCCCTGATAGCCCTAATAGCCTACTAGCCCTATAACCCAAGAGCCCAATAGCCCTATAGCCTCATAGCCTTATAGCCCTACAGCCCTATAGCCCAATCTCCCTATAGCTCCATACCCGTAGAGCCCCATATCCCCATAGCCCTATAGCCCTACAGCCCCATAGCCTCATAGCCCTATAGCCCTAAACATGTTCGGATTGGGTTTTCCTCTTGTCTCATATTACGGTCATCCGTGCTAGTTATACTTGTCAGTCGTGGGGGGTGAGACCAATTATTTGTCTTCGCGGTTCGGTGCGGTGCTGAAGATATCGCTCCGCTAGATCCGCCCCCGCGAATTTGGTATTTCCGTTTCGGCGCTAACGATAACACACGGGGGTTCATGAATGGCTTCTCTGCGTTACGCGGACGGGCTGCACTGCATAATTTGTTTTGGCGCAGCGCGCCCTGGCGAGGTGTGTCGAAGGCTGGCGCGCAACGGCTTGGTAGTTCAGGAACCCCGCCTGGGGGGGAGTCGTTATTGTCGCTCCCCCTGCCTGCCTGTATTTCACGCGAGCTTGCGCGCGGCGCGCGCGTTTCCGCGCGCTTGGCTCAAGACAACACTTGTGAGGATAGGACGTTGCTTCTGTCTCAGCGGGAATGGATGTTCGCGCGCATCGTAACCCATTATCACATCTATTGGATGGAACAATGCAGCAACTCCGCATGACTTCGTGAAGGGTCTGTCATCAATCTCCCAGAGAATGAAGCCCTTGATTTACGAGACCAGAGTAAAGACCATGCTCGGATGCCAAAATCTCAGGAGCACGAAGCAAATAATTAGTAATGGTTACAATGCGGAAAGCCTGGTGTCAATGTCGACGATGCGGACGGTGATGCTGATGAGGATGAGGGTGGTGATATTCATGATGAGGGTGATGTCGACATCTTGCTGGTGGAGGTGATCTTGACCAGTACAATGAGCAGGGGCTTGATGATGACGCAGATGATGATGATGTTGATGTTGCGGACGATGATGGTGATGAGGTGATGGGGATGGCGATAATGATGAGGGCAAGGATGGTCACGATGGGAGAAAGGGGTTGGTGATGGGGGCGAGGGCGAAGACGAAACAAACTGCTGATGATGCGTATGATGATCATGTTCTTCGACGCTCTACTACAAGTTCCGGCTCCTCGGCAAGGCGCTTCGTCATCTTCTTGACCAGAGCATGAGCTGCGGCGCGTCTCCTCTCTCTCTGTCGTGTTTTCTTTTCTTCGCCTCCTGTCCTGTCTCGTCCTGTGCCTCGTGCTTCTTCCTCGCTCCTTCTTTGTCTCCCTCTTCGTTCGTTCTGTCCTCGCCCCACTAGCGCTGTCCTCGTAGTGACCTGTCGCTTTTCCGCTGCCCTGCACTCGCGCGGCGTTGCGTTTGTTTGACCTTACCTGACGGTGCGCGGCTCTTTCCGCGTCACTCGCAATCAAAAAAGTATGGCGATGACGGTGACGATGATGGTGATGATGTTTTTCATGGTCGTGCGGACGATGATGACGATAGTAGGGAAGAGGGTGAGTCATATGAGGAGGTTGAGGATGATGCTGAGGAGGAGGATGGTGGTGATGATGATGATGACGGCGGTGGTGACGAGGGTGAAAAGGATGATGCTGACGGTGATGATGTCGAGGACGGGGACGTGGACGATGCCGAGGACGATGATGACGATGATACTGCTGACGATGATGATGATGATGATGATGATGATGATGCTGGTGGTGGTGATGGCTGATGACGGTGATGGTGACGATGGTGATGATGATGGTGGCGATGACGATGGTGATGAAATGTGAGAAGGAGGGTGACGGGGAAGGGGGGACAGAGCAACGCGTTTGGCAATCGCGGCAGGGGTCCAAGAGCCGGTCGCCCTCCACGCCAGCATCTTGGAGGCCCCGCCCGCGCTGGGCGGCCGCAGCGGCTGCGGCGATCTCATTTTGCCCCTCCTCCTCGTCCTCCTCCTCCTCCTCCTCCTCCTCGTCTTCGTTTTCTTCCTCCTCCTCCTCCTCTTCCTCCTCCTCCTCCTCCTCCCCCTCCTCCTCCTCGTCCTCCTCCTCTTCCTCTTCCTCCTCCTCCTCCTCCTCCTCCTCCTCCTCCTCCTCGGCGGGGAGGCAGAGGGGAGCAGGTGCCTGGCAAGGAGGGCGCAGGGAGGAACGGGGAAGGAAGCAGGGAGGCAGAGGGGGAGCAGCATGGAGGCTGGAGGCAAGGGCTCCCGCGAGGGCGCGAAGTTATTCGCGATTCGCGGTCCTCGTTCCGTGTCTTCCTCCTCCTCCTCCTCCTCTTTTTGTTGTTTCCCTTCGTGGCGGCAGCGCGAGAGCGCGAAGTTATTCCCGCGTCGCGCTTCGCGGAGCGCGAAACGCGAAGTTGGGAGCCCCAGGAAGCAGGGGGGCAGGGGGGAGCAGCAAGGGGGCGGGAGGCACGCGCGGGGGTGCAACCCATGCATGGGGGCCTCTTGGGGGCGTGCTGTCGGTCCCGGGGGTAATCTTGGGGCGGAGGGCTTGACGTGTCCCCCCTTTTAGGGGCCGTCCTGGGGGCCTCGTGGGCCGTCTTGAGACTCTTTTGGGCCTTCGTGCGGGCCTCTTGGTGACCTCTTTCGCCGCCTTGGGGCGATTGTGGAAGCTCATGGGGCCGTGTTGGCTCTTCGGGAGACCGCTGAAATCTTTCAATCACCTAACTAACATGTTTGCCCCCCCGACGGGGGGTCCCTCGCCTCGTCGTCGCGCCGCGACTGTCGGAGCGCCTTCGGCGCGCGGTGGCTGCCCGCGACAGGGGCCGATGCGGGGCTGCCGGCGGGGGTGACGCCCCCCCGACGCTTGTGAAGAAGCTCGGAGCAGGGCTGTGTGGTGCAGGAGCGTCTCTGCGGTCGCTTTGATAGAGCAGGTCCGCATCCTCGGGACACCCTCGCGGGCGGCAGCGGCCAGTGAGGGGCGGCCGCGGGCCGGACCGTGGCGAGCCCTACGGAGCAGCATGCTCAGACGAGAAGCTGGTGGTCGACAGCACACTCAGCTTGGAGCACGGAGGTTGTCGTACAAAGAGGTGGCGATCAATTCATTCGCACGCGTACGCACAGCGATCGAAACGTGTTGCCAAGAAGTGATACGGATGCCTAGGAACATACCTTACAGTGCATCGAGGATCCAGGAACAAACTTGGAAAGGGGCGCTCATCGTACAACCTCCTTGATCATCCTCCCTCGTCCCTCCTCCTTCTCCTTTTCCTAGCTCATCCTCCCTCCTCGTCCCTCACCTCCCCCGACTCCTCCAACTTTCTCATCCCTCTCCTCCTCTTCCTCCCTCCTATCCTCCTCCTCGTCCTCGTCGTCGTCGTCGTCGTTCGCTTTCGCTGGAGCGGACCTTGCGTCAATGCTGGATGAGCCTAGAAACGGCGAAATCGAACAGAACCAGGGAGCCTACAGCTCCTGGTCCGAATCCGAGCCTTCCGCCGCTTCGCCCTTTCGGCCGCCGCGCGTTGCGAGGCGCACTGCCTGGAGCACCCATTCTTCCAGCGTCTCTCGACTAGACGTAAGAGTGACCTTTCGCCGGAGTGACCTTTGGTGCGGGCACAGATGGGCCCCAGGTGGCTGAGAACGAAGCAGGAGCAGCGGCTTGCGCGCCCAGGTTTGGTGTCCCCGCGGCCCCCAAAAAGCCGCGCACCACAGGTCACTCTTACCCAGGGTCATTCTTGCGTATGGCCGAGTCTCTCGGATCAGCCCCAACCTGGCCAGAGACTCCCAGCGGCCCCACCCGCCAACCAGCCCGCCACCCGCCCCCAGCACGGAGCTCGCCCTACTTGCGCCTCACGAGAGACGAGTGCCAGCGCTCGCGCGCTGCGAGGCGCACTGCCCAGAGCACCCATTCTTCCAGCGTCTCTTGGGTCAGCCCAATCTGGCCAGAAGCTCCCAGCGGCCCCACTCGCCAACCAGCCCGCCACCCGCCCCCAGCACGGAGCTCGCCCTGCCTGCGCATCTCACGAGAGGCGAGTGCCGGCGCTCTGCGAGCCGCTGGGCAGGCCAGGTCGGACCCCGTGGCGTCGACGAGGCTGCGGGGCCCAACTTGGGAAGTGCAGGAGGAGGAGGAGGAGGAGGAGGAGGAAGAGGAGGAGAGGGAGGAGGAGGAGAGGAGAAGAGGAGGAGGAAGGAGGAGGAGGAGGAGGAGGAGGCGAGGATGGAGGGGGGGGGAGGGGGAGGAGGAGGGGAGGGGGAGGGGAAGGGGAGGGGAGGGGAGGGGAGGGGGGAGGGGGAGGGGAGGAGGAGGAGAAGAGAAGGAGAAGGGGAGAGAGGAGGAGGAGGGGAGGAGGAGGAGGAGGAGCCCTTGGCAGCGCGACCGCTGCCTCCTTATAGGGCATCGGTCGTCTTCCGGCCAGGGCCTTTGAGAGACTATGAGCACCACGCCAGGCGTGGCCGCCACAAGATGTGCAAGCGGCCACACGGATCCCAGATGGCACAGGGTGCCCGTGGAGGGTTTTTCCAAAAGGCTGAGGCGACCCGTCCTCCCTCCTCCTTCCTCCTCCTCCTCCTCCCTCCCTCCCCCCTCCCCTCCCCTCCCTCCCTCCTCCTCCTCCCTCCTCCTCCTCCTCCTCCTCCTCCTCCTCTTCCTCCTCCTCCTCCTCCTCCTCCTCCTCCTCCTCCACCCTCTCCTCATCCCCCTCCTCCTCCTCGTGTCGCCTACGGCCGCAGGGGAAACCGTGCAGGTGCTGGTCTACCTGGAAGGCACTAGACATTTTGATCCTATGCCCTTGGAGCTGTCCAAGCAATTCAAGCTTGGGTTCCGCTGGGGGGGAGTCCAAGGACACAGAAAACGATGATTCCCAACCGACGCGGCCGAGGATCGAAAATCAAGAGAACCGTTCGAGGCGGGAGGTTTAGGAGGAGAGTGCAGTCGGACCGAGGTATAAGATCGAGGTCGGTTCGGGGAGGGTACCTTATTATTTAATCGCTTCGCTCATTCCGCCCGCCCATCTTGCGAGAATGAGGAGGAGGAAGGTGGATGAGCATGATGAGGAGGCCTCTCGATGGCTTCTTGAAGCATTCATTGTGGGGCCAAACTTGGTCGTGGAGAGGCTGCCTCCGTGGGGCCTCTTGGGAGCCTCTTCGAAGCTTCTTGGGAGCCTCTGGGGGGCCTCTGGGGGGCCTCGTTAGGGCCTTTTGGGGGCCTCCGTGGGCCACTTGAAGGCGTGTTGGCGGCCTCTTGGAGCCTCCTGGGGACCTCTCCGGGCCAAAGGCTCGAAGTGTCCGTTCGGGTGCCCCGTCTGGGCTCGCTTTTAGAGCCGTCTTGGAGGCGTCTTGGGCCATCTTGGAGGTCTCTGGGACTGTTTTGGGGCCCTCTTGGGCCCTCTTGGGCTTATCTTGGTGGCTTGTTGGGCCGTCTTGGGGCGATCTTTGGGGCCTCTTGGGCACGTCTGGACGCTGTGAACCCCAGACGTCGTATATGCGATATATATATATATATGTTTTTCCTAGGGAGTGAGACGATTTTTGCTTGTTGGAGCCCTCTTGGAGAGCCTCTTGAGGCTCTCTTGGGGCTTCTCGGCTGCCTCGAGGGCCGTATGAAGGCCATCTTGGGCGTCTTGGACCGCTCGTTCGGTGACTCAGAGCGCTTTTGGGCTGCCTTGGAGGCCTCTTGGCGCGCTCTGGGGGGCCTCAGAGACCGCACCCATGAGGAAAGCCATCTCTGAGTAACAGTTGCTGGGCTGCGGTCGGGCGGCGGTCGGGGTATTTTTCGCCGGGGGACTCCCAGGGGCCTCCCCGCGCGCGCGAACTAGAAATATTGTTAACCAGTTACCGGAGATCTTAGCACGCCTCTGGCCCGTTGGACCGGCGATCTATTCGTGCTTGTTGGATGTTCTTGTGCACCCTGTGGGTACCCTTGGCTGTTTTGTGTGTTTTGGCCGATGGAGGGTCTCATGCTCTTGCAGGATGTTTTTCTGGCCTAGGTCCGACTGTCAGGGGAATTTGGTCAGCGTCCAGCCAACCCCCACCTTCGGCACGTCTTGCTGCCCTGCCCCCCTGCCAGCCTCGGCCGCCTGCAATTTCAGCCCAGCATGATGCCTGGCAGCGGCTCCCGTGCAAGGGTGACATCCCATCCCCTGCTTCGCGAACGAATCTGCCGACTCATTCGCCAGCCGCTCCCATGGCGTTGTGCGGCCAGCTTCCACATCAGTTTGTGTGCAGTGTGAATTCGTCTTTAAAGCGCGTAGCCTCTTCGTCACTCCTCTCCTCCTCCCTCCTTGTCTCTCCTCTTCCCCTCTCCTCCTCCCCCTCCCCCTCCCCCGTCCCCTCCTCCACCACCACCTCCACTGCCTCCTCCTCGTCCTCCTCCTCCTCCTCCTCCTTCTTCTACACCTGCTCCTCCTCCTCTCCTACCGTCCTTTTCTCTACCTCCTCCTTATCCTCCTCTCACTCCTCCTCCGCCTCCTCCTCCTCCTCCTCCTCCTCCTCCTCCTCCTCCTCCCCCTCCCCCCCCCCTCCCCCTCCCCCTCCCCTCCCCCTCCCCTCCCCCTCCCCCTCCCTCCTCCACCACCAACCTCCACCGCCTCTCCCCTCCTCCTCCTCCTCCTCTTCCTCCTCCTCCTTCTACACCTCCTCCTCCTCCTCCTCCTCCTCCTCCTCCTTGTCCTCCTCCTCCTCCTCCGCCTCCCTCCTCCTCCTCCTCCTCCTCCTCCTCCTCCTCCTCCTCCTCCGCCTCCTCCTCCTCCTCCTCCCTCTTCCCAGGGGCCTGGCGTGGGCTGGGCGGGGAGCAGTTCGCTGAGCACTCCGATGGCTCGCCCCCGAGCCAGGGGCAGCCTCGCGACCGCCCCACGTGGAGGAGAGGCGCGCCGCGCGCCGCAGCCGGGGGGGGGAGAGGCCCGCCCACCGAGCGGGGAGGAGCCACCAGCGCGGCGCCCCGCGGGGCCCCTGCCGCGCCTGGGGGACCTGGCAGCCCACCCCAGGCCGCGCGCAGGGGCGAGGAGGGGCTGGCCGCTGTGGCGGCTGGCGGAGGGCGGGGAAGTGCCGCCGGAGCGGCGCCGCCCGGGGCCATCGCCGCGCCCGGGGGGCATTGCAGCCCACCCCAGGACGCGTGCGGTGGCGAGGAGCGAGCGGACGCGCCTCGGGCGCCGCCGTCGAGTGTGCCACGGCCGCGCGTTGGGAACGCGGCCGCGTAGCGGACTGTGAGACGTCTGGGGCCCTGGCAGTCGTCAGCGTGTTGACGGCCGCCAGGGCCTCCTTGATGACGCCCCATCCATCCATCCTCCTCCCTCCTCCCTCCTTCCCCCCTCCTCCTCGGCAGGCCCGGCGCCGCCAGCCGGCGCGGCTTCGTGGTGGGCGAGCAG